GGGGGGGGGGGGGGGGCCACTTACGGAACAAAATGATCTATCGAGACTTTCGGAGCTCGATGACAGTTCCTGGGAAATGAACGAGAGAGAGGGAGGTGGGTGGATTTATTTCCAAGGCGGGGAGGGGGGGAAGGAAGGCAGTCGAGGAGAGAAAAGGCAAGACTTTAAAAACAGCTCTTCGCAGGCCCCCCCTGTCCTGCCCCCCCAGTGCACCCACCCAAGGAAACGGGGGTCACATCTTGGAATTTGGGGCCTGGCAGGGAAGGGCAGCCTCTCAGGGGCCGGGGGTCCTTAATCCCTAATGCCGAAAGGTACACTGCCCCTGGACAGGGAAGCCCCACGCAGCTATCCAAGCCTTCTGTTCACGGGGTTTTCGAGGGAGACCTCAGTGAGGGGTCCGTCTCCAAATTTCGTAGCCCTCCATTCAGGGAGTGGGGAGGAAGCGGGAGGCTTGGGAGCAGTGGGGCCGAAACGGCAGACGCGGGGCCAAACGAGGCGCCGGCTGCAAATGGGAGGAAGAGGCAAATCTCTCTGCAAAATGCCAGAAGGATTTTGGCTTTAGGTTTGTGGGCCCTGCCCACCATCGGCTTTGGCTAATCTTAAATTAAGCTAAGCAGTGTTGAGCTGGGAACCTTTGGATGGGAGACCACAGGAAATCGGGGGGGCAGGCAAGAGTGGCAATAAGAGATTGCCACCCAAGCGCCAGCTGGGAGACCCACCTTCTGATCCCCACCCCCTGCATGATCTCTCAGCCTAACCCGCCTCGCAGGGCTGTCGGGAGAACCCTCCCTCACCGCAGACCTGACCCCAATCCCCGGGGGGGCTCCACAGATGGATCCGTTCTCCTTTTCAATGCACTGTTAATGATGCAACGTTCAAAATGAAGAATACTTTAAAGAGGAAGGAAGGAAGGGAAGGAAGGGAAGGAAGGGAGGGAGGGAAGAAGGGAAGAAGGGAGAGGAACAGGCTAACATTCCCCAAATCCTGCATCTTTCTTATTTTTAAACAACCAGCTCCCATGCAAAATCACCTAACTCTCCATTAAACAGACTTCCTCGATCTGGCCACGGGGAGATAGGTTGGACTCCAATCCCCATCATCCCCGGCTGGCTAAGGATGACAGGACTCTGGGGTTAGGGTGGAGGGTCCGGGGTCAGGGAAGGCGGACTAGGAATGACCGCATTCGCCTCAAAGCAAAGGGGAGGAGAGCAACGCCGGGTTCCCGACAGCCATGCCCCGGCCACCCCGGGTGACTCGGCAGCCTCCGGGCAGCCACAGGCTCCACACCAACGGTTTCAACCCCAGGCCACTAAAGCAGCCACTCTGACGAGGCGTTTAATTAAACTGTTTTTACGAGGCTGGCCTGGCCATCCGGAGCACCGCTCGGGGGAAGACAGGATATAAAGCCAGGACTGAAACAGGAAGGAAAAGGCTGCCGGGCCGGGCTTCCAAACCCTGGTTCTGGGGCATCCCGCGGGGGGGAGTTACCCCCTCTCTTCTCGGGGCTTCCCGCTCAGGACAAACACAGGGGAAGGGGGCTTCCCATCAGAGCGGCAGGCACCAGGGCTCGAAGATGATAATAATACCCCGCGCTTGAAACATGCGAAGTTGAGCAAGCCAGGATTAATTCACCGCTAGCGCTTGGGGAACCAAAATCTCAGGAGAAAGTCTGGTCTGTCTTCAGCGGCCCA